TATTTAGCAGTGAACTATCATTCTATTCAAGAAAGTAGTTTTTGAACTTTTTGACATCTTTGGCAGGTTTCTCCAGGATTCAAATCTTTATTTAAGCCTTTTGGCCTAAAATTAATTTTACAATTTTCCACTTAGACCCCCTGAAGAGCCTGAAAGGGTTTATCTCTCATCTTGTACAGATATTAAATGATTAGGCTTATTTGATAAATAATACAGGAAGTACTGTCAAATAAGGAATGGTGTTTAATTTCCCTTAAGTTATATACGTGTGTGTTATTAAAATGTGTGAAATTGTATAGGATTCCTGAAATTCTGATATGCCAAGGTATGTGTCATAATAGTGATATTACATTAAATGACTGTATGCCAATAAAATGTCTAAACTGCCTTGTCAATTGAAAATTCTCATCAGATCTTTGGCTATAATTATTCTGGGGTTTTGTCATCCAGTTATTAAATAATTCTCTGGAGGTATTTGCAATGAGATAGAGTTTAAAACTGCTAATCAAAATAAAGAAAAAAAAATTTTTTCTCTGTTGCTCAGGCTGGAGTACAGTGGTGCAGTCATAGCTCGCTGCAGCTTCCATCTCCTGGGCTCAAGCTTGATCCTCTTATATCAGCCTATGGAGTAGCTAGGACTACAGGTATGTACCACTACACCCAGCTAGTATTTTTATTTTTAGTAGAGATAGGTCCTGCTATTTGTGCAGGCTGGTCTTGAAATCCTGAGCTCAAGCTATCCACTCAGCCTCCCAAAGTGCTGGTATTACAGTTATAAGCCACTACACTTGGCCAGCCAAACAAATTTTTTTTTATTGCATTTTAGGTTTTGAGGTACATGTGCAGAACATGCAAGATAGTTGCATGTGGCGATTCCACAAAATTATTTAAATGAAATTAAGTAATTGATAATGTTTTTGTGGCTTAAATGTTTTGTTTTTCAAATTCAAGAAAATTTTCTGTCATAGGCTATCTATAGTTTGCAATATTTTGGAAAAGTATCCTTTATTGAACAAAGGTGGAAACATTTGCTTTTTCTTCCTACTTGATTCCTCTAAAATTCAGAAGCTATACATGAGCATTCTTATTTTTATTTATATAAGTTAAATAAAAGTCTTATCTCTCTTGAAAGCAGGATACAATTAAGAACATTGGTTATGGTACCAAGATATAGACTGAAATGTTATATGTAAGAATGTACGTCAAATGCCTATCTTCAAGAGTTCCCAGCTTTACAGTAAGTAAAAACTGTCACTTCCTGGTAGGCCAAGAACCTTAGACTGTAAGGAAAATCTAACACCTGACTTGGTCAGGCCATCTAGCTGCAAGAGGTTCTAATATTTGCGATTTCTTATTGGATCAATGTGGACAGGAAAAGTTATGCTTGTAAGAAAAGCAAAAGTGTATCAATTATTATATTATAACCCTGTGCATTGTCCACAATTCCTTGTCATTTAGCTGTAGACTGGATTAGATTCTGAATTCTCCTAAGATCCTCCAATATTTGGTTATAACTAAATACTAATGGAGTCACCTAGCTCGCTCCCCTGCTACCCTATCCAGACTAGGGATGCTCTGGGGACATTCAGGGGATTTCCCCTTTAAAATCTAACCAACTAGGCGAATTAAAATATCAGAATTGGACACAAACTGGACCCATAGGATACTATAGTCTCCTTGTCTCAAAGTTGATGCTGCTACTTCTTTTGTAAAAGCCACAATGAAAATAGTAATGGGGACCCCCTCACTGTCTGCATTCCACACTGTTGGGGCTCTCCTCAATTCACATCACAAGAGGCCTAGAAAACTATGCAGTTCTCTTTTTATCCTCACCTCCCCTTACCACGATCCAATATAACTTGCTTAATTCTGCTACTTTCCTTATCTTTCCTGATGTCAGGTGTGCCCAACAGGCAGAACTGCATGCTCTTACTAGACATGTCTTTCAGCCAAAGGTAAAATGGCCAATATTTATACAGATGGCAAGCATGCCTTGAGATAGCTCACAACCTTAGTATCTGTGTGAAATATGTCCATAACACCATATTGAAAAACCATTTCATGCCTTCATGGACTACTTCACGTTACCAGAAAGTCCCTTTGAGTTATGGCAACAATATTTTGCTCAGCTCCCCATCTCTCAAGGATACCGGTATGTACCAGTTACAGTTTGCATGTTTTAGCATTGCATTGAAGCCTTCCATTGTCAACAGGCCACAGCCATGGCAGTAGTTAAGGCCCTGTTGGAACATTTATACCAACCTGAGAAGTCTCTCAAGAGCTTCATAATGCCCGAGGAACTCATTATACAGGGCAAATTACTGAAAACATTTGTATAATTTGGCCTATTTATCAACATCTCCATTGTGCTTACCCCCCTAGTTCTCTGGATTGGTGACATAGACCAAGGGAATAAGAAAAGCCCAACTGCCAAAGATTTGTGGTGTGGCATTTAACCTGCCATAGCTCAAGGCCCTTTCTGTAGTCCTCCTTAACCCTGGCATGCTTTCAGTATTCCTTCATAGAGTTCTAAATTCATCCAGATGGTCAGGGCAGCCAACACATTTGTGGTAGTCTCTAGTCTTTACTGATCCCCTTCCAAGTAGGATTCCTCAATGGCATTTATTTCTGCTTGTCTCATTGGCCCCTGTAAACCTCCTGGGAAAGGTTTTTTGTACAAATATGCCAGGTCCATATTTCCTTCTGCCAAAGAGGGGGAAATAATATTAGAGTTATCCTCACCAGAAGATCTGGCCACAGAAATGGCTTTACCCTAATTCTCATCTCTTGAGTTGGCCTCACCAGCACTACTCACCCTGCTCTCTAACAGCTATCATCTGTGCCCTGAGAGTCCTGGGGCACAATCCAGCACCAATGATAACCCCATAGATTACAGTTGGGGATGCACTCAAGGATGTGATTTACTTGGAGAGGTTAACTCTAATGAAGGAGCTAGATTAGGAAGGTTTCTGGGGCCCTGGTTCTGCTTTGGACTAAGTTCTGCTTGAGATGAATATATGGTCAGAAACGTTTCCTGCACTTAATAAAGTACATCTCCTAGCTTTTGACAATAAAAAATTCCATCCTCATTACCACTTTCTGCAAAACAAAGATTTATATATATGGCTTGAAAGTGAATAGGAGTGGTTAAATTGCATTTATGCTTTATTGAACATTATTAGAAATTAACCTAACATCTCTACCAATGTGCAGAAATCTATATACACACAGACCACACATTCTGAATTTCTATTGCTCACACATTTTCTTCCTCAAGGCTCTTCAGAGGAGGCATTTTCCTAAGCTCAGCTGTTGGTCCTCTGTTCTTTCTTCATTTATTCCTTCATCATTCATTTTTATAACTCTGAAGAACACTTATATTTTGATGATTCATAAATATTGTAAGACAATTTCTCTCTTTTTCTGTTCTCTAAACAACTCTACTGTCTCACAATCAGACTTACTTTCCTCTCTTTCCAAAAACTGCTATTACTATGCATGAAACCATGACTATTTAACTAGCTTATAAATTATTACATTATTTATAGTCTGAACCATACAACTCAGCACTTACTTAAGGTGTTACATTACTTAAACTTAATGAATCATAGTAATCTTACCCATCTGACCAGATTTTATGCAATTTGACATCAGAGATTAGTTTTATACTTTATCTGTATGCCCAATGAGTTCTTGTAGTACTGAGGCCATAGAATGATTCAATAAATATTTGACAATTAAAAACATAAACAAATTGCCTGTCTTGTAACTTTGGAAATAAAGTGCTACATTGATTATTATTTAATATCAGTTTATCCCATCTTTTTAATATGAGACTAAATAATTTAAAGTTAATACATTTAATAATGGAACTCACAACATATATATTTTTATAGTTTAAGAAGTATGCTCACTTAACCTTCCAGTAGTCATGTGGAGACCATATTATGATTCTCTTTCTACAAATCATAAATAAAACCCATAAATGTAAAGTGACTTGCCCAAGGTCACCTAGCTAGTAAGAGGCAGAGCTAAATCATAACCCCACATATTCTGTCCCCAAATCCAGTGCTCTTTCCCCTAGATCTATATATTCCCTCTTAAAAAATATAGTAGTACATATACACTTACTATGTTGTTGTAACACAACTCATATTTCCTCTCTTAGGAGAGGAAATTTCTCACTTTTTAGATTTCATTAAAATTTTTATTTATTTATTTATTATATTTTTTCAGAGATGGACTTTCACTATGTTGCCCAGACTGGTCTCAAACTCCTGGACTCAAACAATCTGTCTGCCTTGGCCTCTCAAAGTGCTAGGATTACAGGCATGAGCCATCGCATCTGGCCACATTATGAAACTATTTCATTATTAGATTTCATTATACAGATTGTATATAAGTTTAGACAAACTCTTTATAGTCAGGATAATAAAATTATATATGCATTTCTCTTCCCAAAGGCCCTTCTGACTATTCTCAAAATTTTAAAAAGTCATTAACCACACATTTGCAATCCTAGAGTAATCAGAGGTGCTGCTGTTACATCTGAAGCAAAGCCAGATGTGAAACAGATGCAGCAGCACCACTACAGTTCCAGATTACTAATATAAGGTAAGTGCTTTAACTTTGATTGGCTTTGGGATGGAATGGATGGAGCTGGTCTGAGAGAGGCTATTAAGAGACCTGAGTTTCCCCAAGTGATTTCATCCTGGACCCTTATCGGACCCTCCCAGCTCAGCTTCCACCATTTAATCAAAGTTTAAAGCACTTACCTGATATTAGAACCTGCGATTCCAGCATTGCTGTACTACATCTGTCTTATTTCCAGTTTGTCAAGTAGGTACAATTGCAGAACCTGCTCCAGCACCTGCAGCTCACAGTGTTATACCATAGTAGACATCCACTGCCAAAACTGAAAATATTTAACCTTAATTTTGTTAGAAATTTGCCATTTCAAAATGAATTTTTCAACATTAAGTTTCATTTTAGTTACTTACCATTTGGATAGGGTGTTTCACATAAAGTTAGAAATTCAACAATAGGATGATCCATTTCAAGTACTGTAATTGCTTTTCCATGCATGATGGTTAAACTTGGTCTTCTACAAGCTTTGTCATAGGACAGCCCACCAGAGAATATTATGAATGGTTCGCTACAAAGGAGAAAACATTAATGAGACTCAGAAGTCTTTTAACATGACACAAAGTCACAGGACTGAACCTATAAAGAACAGGTTTGTTGTATACCATATAATTTGACAGACAGTAAAAAACTTGCCTGGCTCAAAATTTTTCATTCACTAACCTACTCTTCTACTGTATCCCACTTTCTAGATGTAAATTCTCACTATTAAATTTACTAATGTATCAGTCTAAAGATGTTGGGGAAGTCTGGGGAAAGGCAGTGAGCTTGGAGGGAGGTGGGTGTGCTCACTGACTCTCAAAAGGCATCTTCATATATATTAGTTAGTTCCCAAACTCTAAATCACTATCACTGTAATATTAGTCATGTTAGAATATCAGGATAACTAGCTGGCTTGTGGGGCCTAAAATCTCTATAAGAGAAAATAGACAAATTTTAATATAACATGAAATGTGACAGTGGAAAGCCCAGAATGGCAGAGAGTAAAATAAAAATTGTAGATAATAAAGTTTCTGTCAAAAGAGAGTAAAGATAAAAAGGTGGAGAAAGCTAATATGTAAGAGAATAATAGTTAATCAAAGATAAATTGCCTTTTCTATTTTATTTGTGGTCAATCAGCTCTATATATGTTACTCAACTAACTTTAAACAATATTTTTGTCTTTTGATTTATAAAATACAATTAGATAGCAGAGTGGGGTTAAGATGACTCTAAAACATTATAGCTATCTGAAGATTACAAAATCATTTCAAAATTTTTCATTTTTAATTTCTCAAATCAATACTTATATATCTTTAGTGTATGAGTACAAAAGAAAAAGTGTGTTAGCAGGTAGTATTTTCAAGAAAAAGTAAATGCCAAATTTGAAAATATTGTTTTCTAATTTTTAAAAAAGAACTAGAGGCTTTTATTGTACCAAATTATTTGAGAATATAATGCTCACCTACATAATTCACTTACATTTACATCCTATTTGATAAGCTGAAGAATCTACTTTTCTCTAGAAATCACTCTGTAAGATTTCCTTTTCTCTTCCATTTTGTACTGTGTGTGGCACCAAACATTATCAATGGGATATTTGTTAATCTTATGCTGGTTATATAACCAAAAGGGGGGCTTTTTAAAAAAGGTTCTATCCAAACCTATACGTAAAATGCATGTACTATTTTCTATTTATTATTCTATCTTAATATTATGATGTAAATATTTGAGTTACAAGCAAAATAAGTAAAAATACTTTAACTTATTTTACCTCAGTTGATTTGAGTAATAGTCTTGCACCAGTGATTTGATATGGTAAGTGACCAACCTACTAATGGTGCTACTAAAAAGCACGTTTATTATTTCTATAAAACATATATTTATATTATTTATAAGATTTATCCAGATTTAAAAAGCATTTCTAATATAGTTATTTATGAAATACTATGAAAGATTTTACCTTTGTTTATTGCTTGGTTTTGCAAAAGAAGGCCACAACTTAAGAGTATGTAGTATCTTTTCATAAATATTAAGCTTAACTGTATACTATAAATATTAATAAAGGCCATAAATATCTATTTTTTCTTGTGTAAAAGTAGGTGAATTTATTCTCATCCCCTAATACTAATCCCAACATAGAATAAGGAATAATTTACCTCCCCTGCTTTTTTGTATATACATTGGAAGTAGGTCCTCTCCAATATTGAAAGGAAGTAAAACCTCTTCTGCTCTAATTATGACTCCGCATCAGAATACTCTGGGTCTGAAGTTAGTTGTTAATATATATGCATTTCTCTATAAATTACTGAGTGATTGAATAAAAAGTTATTTCCTCAGGAAAGTGCTCAGGGAACCACTCATTGCTAACTGTACTAAATATTTAATTATCACATTTAGTCCTCATAAGTTATGTCCTCATTTTATTAATGAGGTTAAATAACAGCTAAGAAGCAACATTTAAGGAAAATTGAAATCTATCAGACTCCAAAGCCTATGCTTCTAAACACCTCTATATATTGCCTTTAGTAATAAATAGCTACAATTTACTGAATGCTTACCATGTGGCATATATTGTGCTATGTGTATATATAAAGTAAATTTTGTGTAATCCTCATTACAACTTTGATGAAGAAAGTACTGTTAGTCCCATTTATACATAAGGAATCTTACGTATATTAAGATTATGTAAGATTAATGCAGATTAAACTTGTTTCAGAGTCAAGCAGCTAGTGAGTACCAGGACAAAGATTCAAAACCAGACTCAAAAGCCCACATTTTTCATTTTTAGTTTAATGTTTCCCAAAGTGTGGAATACAATTTGGTAGTTGTTCAACATTAAAACATTAAATTTGATAATTTGATAAGCACTTGCAAAACTGTATCTCCGTTTAGAAATTTTGCATTTCATGGCATATGTTAAAAATTCTGAGAAATCATAAGGTAAACAATCCAATTTACTTTTATAGAATTTGTAATTTCTCAAATTTATTAGATTACAGATCCTTTTTATTCCATGAATATCATTAGTGGTCAAAGGAACACAGTTGCTTGATAATGCTGTACCACACTAAATGTTGTACCGCACTAAACTGTCTCAGGTGTTACCTAACACAAAGATTCTATTAAGGAATTCCTGAATCAGATAGATTCTTATGAAAGAAATAAATAACCATATACTTGAAATGTCCTTAAACTTAAAGAAAGCATTAACAAAAAATAACAAATTATGAATAGAAAACTTGGATGAATCTCAAAGGCATTCTACTGAGTGAAAGAAGCTAGGCTTAAAAGGTTACATAATATATAATTGCATTTATATAACAGTCCTCAAAAGACAAAACTATAGTGACAGAGAACAGATCAGTGGTTGCTAAGCTTTGGGAGTTGGGGAGAGGAGTGACTGTAAAGGAACACAATAGGAGAGTTGTAAGAAATGATGGAAATATTCTTTATTCTTATTGTGGTGGTAGTTTTAGAAATCTATACATGTGTTTAAAAACATGAAACTGTACACCAAAAGAAAAAGTTAATTTTACTGTACATATAATTTGTAAAATACATAAAATAAACAGGATTAAAGTTTTGTCCCAATGAAGGCAACAAGATTAAACAAGTTGTCTAACATAATAAATATTAAATGCTAACATACATTGAGTATTTATGATACTGTAGGCATCACATGGAGAAGTTTACATGCACTCTTTTATTTAAACCTTATCACATCCCAGTGAGATAATTACTCCATTTAACAGATGGGTATATTGAAGTTTAGAGAATTTAATTATACATAAAGCCTATTAGTTGGCTGCCATGATAGGAACAGATTAAAAGACTACCAGAAAATAACTTTCTTTAGCTTCAGAAAACCTAATAATTCTAGTGGTAGTTGGTATATAAATCAATATTCCTTTCTTGAAAAGGATAAAACTATTAAGCCTGGAGCCCATCTTAGTTGGAGTGTCAGTAAGCATATTGGTGATTGGGGACAAATAATTCCCATATACATGTCTGTTTATCCCTGAAAATGTAAAGCAAGTCTGTGAATGGTTGGTCTGCAATAAAAGCAAAAAGAAAATACATCCCTTATATGTGCTACCTATGCAGTCCAGTAAGAGACCCTATTGCTGCAGCTTATATGGTAGAGCTCTTCCTAAGTTTCCTGTTTCTGTGACGGCCATCCTGATTTTTAACTGTACAGTTTCTGCTGTGTAATAGGTAGAGCAGAGCTATAGCTATGTAATTCCTCTTCCTAACTGTGACCTATTTTACTGTGGCATAAATTTTAGTACTCTTAACCTCACTGCCCCTCTGCTTTTTAACCTCCTTGTGTGCTAAGCTCCAGAGGTGACTTTTCTAATAAAGTAGTAATCACAAAAAATAGAAGCAATTTATTAATGTACACAAGTAAATGGGATGACAGTAATTATGATCAATAAGATTATTTTGCATTAAAAATATGAATAATTACTTTACACATAGCTGGGTTATCATTGACTAGAAAAAAGTTAAGAATACTTGAATACTTTAAACAACATGGAATAATGATGACAATAGTAATAGTAACATATTTATTAAGAAACCCACTATGTATCTTCATCAAACGGAGGACACTGAATGCTCTATCCATTATTTCACTTAATTCTCATGAATATCATAGTGAGATAGGTACTGTTGATAAGAAAACTAAACTTTAAAATTTTAATTAAAATTTTTAAGGTCACATAAGTATCTTACTTCAAAGCCAGTGATTTTAATTATTATTTTACTTTGCCTTAACTTGAGTTTCTGATTTCTAAAAATATGTTCTCTTCACTTTCATCTCTTCCTTCCTTTGCTTGGCATCATCTGATCATCCATAAAGTCCCATCTCAGGCATCTCCTTGCCAAATAATTTTCCTGATCTCTCTTCAGCTTCTCCTCCCTACTCCCCTCAAGGCTGGCGTAGGCACTCTTTTTGTGTGCTCCCACAGCATATCTCTATAACAGTAACTTCCATGTTGTATAGAAACCAACAGTTGGGCCGGGCGCGGTGGCTCAAGCCTGTAATCCCAGCACTTTGGGAGGCCGAGGCGGGTGGATCACGAGGTCAACAGATCGAGACCATCCTGGTCAACATGGTGAAACCCCGTCTCTACTAAAAATTACAAAAAATTAGCTGGGCACGGTGGTGCGTGCCTGTAATCCCAGCTACTCAGGAGGCTGAGGCAGGAGAATTGCCTGAACCCAGGGGGCGGAGGTTGCGGTGAGCCGAGATTGCGCCATTGCACTCCAGCCTGGGTAACAAGAGCGAAACTCCGTCTCCAAAAAAAAAAAAAAAAAAAAAAAAAAAAAAGAAACCAACAGTTTATGTCCTTGCCTCTACTGCTAGAACATAATAAATTCTAAAGCATCTCATTTCAGAACATAAAACAAATCACATAGCACAGGGTATACAGTAATAACTAATAAACGTTTTAACTGAATTAAACTGAATACTGTTGAGCATCTTATAGAAATTTATTTTTTAAAAGACCTCTGAACAACAAAATA